AAATAAAAATAAAAAAGTTACCTGTGCTCTTTCCAAATCCCTATGCATATTTAAACGAATGGAGGTTATTTAGTTACTCCAATGGCCATGAGAGAATTTAGCCCACCTGCCCAGGGGCGTTTTAGCCGCGAGGCAAACAAGGCATTTGCCTTGGGCAGCATTTTTCAGGGGGCGGCAAAAAACGCCGCCCTCAAATGCCCAGGGCAAATGCCTTGTTAGCCTTGCGGCTAACAGACATGCCGAGCGGGCGGGCGGCTGGCGAGGGAGCTCTTCCTCTGAGCGGTCCGCTCAGCTCCCTCGTGCCCCGCAGAGTGAGGCTGGGAGCTGACGTCATCTTCCGGCTCCCAGCCTCACTCTGCGGCGCGCGAGGGAGCTGAGCGGACAGCTCAGAGGAAGTGCTCCCTCGCCAGCCGCCCGCCCAGCGCCGCTCGCCCGCAGCCACTGGACTACCAGGGAGATAGAGAACCCCCCTCCCCTCCCCCAGCATTCCCAAAGGTAAGGGGGGGGGTAAATAAAAAAATAAAAAAAGTGTTAATGTGAGTGTGTGTGTGTGTTTGTTAGTGTGTGTGTGTGTGTGTGTGTCTGTTAGTGTGTATGTGTCAGTGTGTGTGTCTGTTAGAGTGAGTGTGTGTGTGTGTCTGTTAGCGTGTGTATGCGTATCTGTCAGTGAATGTGTGTGTATTTAGAAGGCGGGGCAGGGGGAGGGGGAGGGTGGGGCGCCTGAGTTTTGTCCTGCCTAAGGCAGCACAAAACCAGGATATACCACTGCACCTGCCACGTCAAGGCCGACCTCTCAGGTGGGTCCTACACTGACCTTTCACCTTGCTTCCTTAAACTTCTGGCAAAAATATCTCTAATGAGACAGAAAGGGGTATTTTTTTTTTATATACACCCCTACATGCTTATTAACCCTTAATAATAACTTTTGTATCACACAGATATTTCACAATGCTGCTGCCCATCGAATGTGTTCCTTATTAAGGGTTAATAAGTATGTAGGGGTGTATATAAAAAAAATATCCGGTCTCATTCTTCAGTCTCTGCGCTGAAGAAAAGATTAGTAAAAGTTTTATATTTTTAATTAAAAAAAAAAAATGAATACAGGGACACTATACTCGTAGGAATACAGCTTGATATTCTTAATGCTACAGTATTTGATTAACTTGTATGATACACACACATACACACTTGCAGTTGATTCATGCATACCTCGCTTTTGACATAAAATAAATATTTAGCCGGCCATTTCCCAGCTTTCGTTATTTTTCATTAGATTTCCACTAGTAATGTGATTTTACTCAAACCAGCTCAGCATCACAAATACCCTTATGCAGCACCTGGCATAATGCATTCCTCGCCGGACGCATGACTTGTAAAACCAAAAACATAACCACTTATTTTCTATTGAGTTTCGACACCCGGGCTGCGCTGCATTGAGAAATATAACCGCGGTTCAATAATAAGAGGTCAGTGGGAATGTGAATCTGCAGGATTCCCACATTAGCTTTCAATTTGTAAGAGTGGCGGAGAGCAGACGCGCCGCTTCAGATGTAATTAAGATCTTAGTTTGTTTAAACGGGTGCATTAGAATTTAGAGATACAATCAAGTAATAGCCATTACCATCGTTTTGCATAAAAACACAATGTCCTTAGGACGTGGTGTGAAGATAAAATGTTTCAATTGTTCAACTTTGCCCCTAGAATTTATAGAACGACCTTGTACAAAAGAAGGGATTTTTTAAAATTTATTTTATTATATCTTGTAATGAGATTAAACCTTGGCATTTGTTTCCCAATAATAATGGGCATTTGAGCAGTGCCTCCATAATGCCTCTAGCCATTTCTCTTTTGAGACCACCTGCAGGAGGTACAACCTCTGTAGGAGACATTCATAGGATACAAAAACAATCAAAATATTCTGCTCTATGTATAATATGATTGAGCAGATCAGATCTTGCCTAAAGGAGCAAACATATTGAGGTTTACCTCATATCTCCCAAGCGATTTAGGAGGGTCAGTCATAATTTGTGGCCCAAATCCCTCTGTCCCTCTTTTCTATCCTAATGTCTCTATTTTCTAGGAGCTCCATATTGTTGGTGTGTCTGAGTGTATAACAGAGCTCCACAGCAATAATTCTCCCAGTCATGTGTCTTTAAGAGGACTCTCAAATGCCAGGAAAAGTGCCCCTCTCCCTCCCACCCCCCATCCCATATTGCTAAAGGGGTTAAAACCCCTTCAATGACTTACCTGAATCCAGCGCCGATCTCCCTCTGCGCTGGGTCAGGCTCCGCCCATGCTCCTTAGGAGACCTAATGCCCATGTGCGGCAATGGCAATTATTCAATGCTTTCCTATAGGGATTCCGACGACGCTGGAGGTCCTCATGCATAGCGAGAGGACGTCCAGCGTAGTTTAAAACACTTTTCGTGTTCTAAGAACACGGAAGTCCCTCTAGTGGCTGGCTGATAGGCAGCCACTAGAGGAGGACTTAACCCTGCAAGGTAATTATTACAGTTTATAAAATATAAGTTTATAGTTTATATATATTAAGGGTGATGGGAGTTGGCACCCAGACAACTCCAATTGGCAGAGAAGTGGTCTGGGTGCCTAGAGTGTCCCTTTAAACTACAATAAATGTGTTTAGAAGTCGGTCTGTGTAAATAAGATACATTGCTCTTCTTCTATTTTACATTTTAGTTACATATATTATTATCAGTAAGACAGAACAACCCCACCTTTGACAACACCCAGAACAGCCCTGCCCCTGGGCAACAGCTATCACACCCCTAATATTAAAAGGCCCTCTTTGTCCATGTGAAATGTTGGGAGATGTGTTATTAACCAAACTGCAATTAATTAAACTCCAAATTGCAAAGATAAGGCTAAAATAGCTGATCTGTGAGTCGTTGGGGAATTTTTCCAAATCAGCTATTTTGGACTATATAATTTTGCAATTCCATGTTCCATTCTCTACAATACTTTGTTACATCAATAAGCTCCATAGATTTACACTAAAGGGCGTTGTTATTACTGACCTGTGATTGATGGGTGTGGAGAAACACCAGTACTGCGGTGAACACGAAGAAACGTCTGCTGGAGTATTCATATCAGTTCTGGAAGAAATGGCACATTTTAAGCCAAGGCTCATGTAGGACATTATTAGTAGATATTTGGGGAATTGTGCAGGATCTGCCTTTAAACAAGGTGGATGAGTCCAGGATTTCAGGAAAACAGGTAAATCCAATGAGGAGCCTAGAGATGCAGAGCACAGGATTGGAAGGATATGTCTATTTAAATTAGAACCAAGGCTGGAAAAATGGCTCTTCGTAAGAGAAATACAGGAATACTCCGCGCAGGCACTAATGTATCACAGCCAGGAACCAGGAATGCTCCGCGCAGGCACTGCGCACTAATGTATCACAGCCAGGAACCAGGAATGCTCCGCGCAGGCACTGCGCACTAATGTATCACAGCGAGGAACCAGAAAACTTGATCTGGTCAGGAGTCAAACACCTGTAAACCTAGAACCAGCAGGAGCCATAACTAACCAGGTGAAAAGGTAAGTACTTGCACCTGGAGGAATAAGTCGGGAATTAACATAGCTCTCATGAAGTGTCTGTCTAAATACACACAGCGTTCTAATCCCTCCCATAATAATCAGAATATAACAATGTTATTATATATTCACGGCACTGGTAGCCAGATTGTTAAATTCTCTAAATGCTTCAGAAACTCAGTTTAAATTCCAAAAAAAAACAAAAAAAAAAAAACTCAAATTGAGTGCTGGCTGAGGATGATAGGTGTGTCTAACTAACTTCCAAAGAGTGTGGGAGAAAATCCAGGTACTCTGCTCGGATCCCAGCACATGAGGACAAGATCACAGAGCAGACAGAGTGGGTTTCAGCTGGTCCATAATCTGTCTGGGCCCAGCCAGCTGAGTTCTTCCATAATCCAGTACCAGAAGGTGATGGGCAGAGGGCCATGCCCTGAGGATCACTGGGACCCAGACTGGCAGAGCACACAGCACTGAGCGCGTAGTCAGCCTCTGGGGATTAGGAATTAGGGTAGGAGGATCACCTGCATGTACACAGGTGTAACAAGGCCTCATTACCCTAGAGCAGAGGGAAGTGGGAATAGATCAGATGAGGAGAAAAATGTAAGGGTTACCAACTCCAATATGTTTCTAGAGCCTCCTTTGACATAGCCCAAATCTGAAATAAATGGGTTTAGCTCACTGCACAGCCCTCATTGCTGTGGGGAGAATTAGAATGTATTTTTTTACAGTTATTTTGGGACATTAAGGAAGAAATCGCTTGTGAAACAGACTCCTGTCAGTGCAATGTGCAGATTCCTAGTGTCCTGATCAGACAGGACTGCCCTTCACTCACCTCTATCCACCAAATCAGAAATACAAATGAATAAACTACTGTTCCCAGCATGCTCCAGATTTTATTTTATTTTTTAATTCTTTATTTTTTTCTGTGCATGTGATAACATACGTATGTCAACAATGGCACAACAGCATTCCCAAACATTTTAAGACATAGGAGTTCAGTAACAATTGTATGGCATTTAAAGAAGAGGCACATTTTTAAGTTAATAGAACTGATTAAATACAGGCTAGGCAATCGCTTTGGTCATCAGGTAGCTGGTACGTTCCGGCAATAAGGATACATATATATCTGCTGTGCTATGTGATCTACTAGGTAACATGCCGGCGTGTATATCGAATATTAGTAAAGGAGATGTCATCAGTGGTTAGATTAACTTGGTAGGAAACAAACTATATTAACATTATACTGCGCAATGCTAGCCTGTCATTCAGGTGCATGTCTGCTGAGTGTATTGGAATATTTTAACTTTGTGCATCAAGATTTATATAAACATGCCGTGGCTCGACAGTGGTCTAAACTTGAAATGAAAACAGAACAGATCAGATAGTCACAGGAGCAAGTAAGAACTTTGCATTAGGTATGAACTGTACAGTGATATCATGCCTTATCACAGCCTTTGGGCTTGCAGCAGCGTGGTCCGTTTCTGATTTAGTTCCCCCTGATCAACCGACACCAGCTCTGGAGGCTTGACCAGTTGGCACAGGATAATGGCAGCGTTGATTCCTCGATGAGGTTCTTTCTGCTTTAGAGTGTGGGGCCTGCCGTTGTGGCATGGGGCCATATGCTTGTGAGAGGAGCGGTGGGGGGGTGCCCCTGGGGTGAGTCCGTGTTGCGGCTTGAGGTGGCTCACCGACAGTCTAGGATTATGGTGCTGCATCTCGTTTCGTGATCTCTGCTTCGCCGTGTAGGGAGCCCCTCCGTGTTGCCGTCATAAGTAGATTCGTCTGGATCTTGTATGTGCATGACCCACTGGCAGGTTAGGTCGCTGTGTATGTTGCGATCCATGTCGGTAACGGGTCCTGGGCATCTCTGGAGGCCCCTTCCTCTTTCGTGGTGCCGGTCGGCTATCTGGACATTGGGCCGCTGGGGAGGTAGTGTCATGTAACGGGGCAGGTTGGTGTAGCCTTCGTTCCAACTCCCACCAGAACCTCTCAAAGTGCTTACTCAGCCTTGCCAGAATGCCTGGTGTGGTTTCACTGGGATGCTCGACGTGTGCATTTTCCGCCACCTTGGGTGAAACTTCTTGCTCGCTCTTTACCCACGAGACGAGTCTCCTCGCCATGGTGGTTAGGCCTCGCCCCATGCTCCAGATTTTAATGACTGCAATGCTTAGTATCCAGGTATTCTCTATCACTGTGAAAAGGTATAGAATATGTACCTTCATTTAACTTTTTTAGTAGATTACTAAATGAATGTGTACACACCTTTATAATGTACCTTCAAACCTCCTGTAACACACTTATTAATCTGCACGTAGCCTCACCAATCAGAATTACTCGGTAAGCTCTGAATAGACTCCTGATTTGTAAAGGTTACTGCAAATATTTCCTGTATTAGTTATCAAGACATTTACTAAACGCAATTCTTTTGTAACTGAAACTCAAGCGAACTTTGCTCATCTCGCTGTGAACAAATTGGCGTCTGTCAGAATGTCATGTTGTTTTTATTTTGAGATTTCTTTCCTGTTAAAACTGCAGAAATCCACAATATTTGGCATTTAAATTGCGTAAGCAGCCTGAGGGTAACTAGTGAATAAATAGAACAAATCAAAGTTATTCGGACACTATTCACCGGGATGTTGATAAAGACCTAGTTACAGGTCGAAACGTTGCAATAAATCTGCCTGGAAGCAATCACAGTGAGTGCCTTGTTTTTTTTTCCACTAATACGGATTACTTGGGGTTTGCTGACCCATGCTCAGTAGCACCATGTGTTGAAAAATTGTGGCTGAGTGCGACTCTCCCTTTCTTCTACTAACTATTCACCGGTATGAACATGATGCTGTACCTCTTGTTCTCACAAACCGTAAGTAGCTGTTTAAGAATAAATAATATTTTGGATTAGCAGCTGCAGACACCCAGCTACTCCCTCTACCCTGTCCCCATCATTGGAAATTACAATTTATTAATTTGGGGCTCCAGAGGACCCTCCGATATCTGAACATAGGATCCAAGTAATGGTCTATGTGTATCAGTCAGTTAAAACAGGTTAAATTTATAAGAAACTACTATGCCCAAATAAAAATAAAAAATCTCTGTTTAGTAGATATACCCCCAATGAAACCATACGTGCATTTAATTATATGTGTGTTTATTGGGGGGTATATCTAAAAACAGCTTGTAGAAGCTGTAGATCTCTTGTCTGTTGTCTTTACAAGCCCTCCTCTTCTAACCCCGCCCAGACTTTCTGTGGCTGTCCAATCACAGACTGCCCAATGCAGCTAATTGAGGAGTGTTTGCAAGGCAGGTGTTCTAGTGTTCCTTTAAAATATGTTGTCTCGGGGCGTGGCTTGACGCTCGAGCTGCTCCCGTTGCCCGGAATGCCCCTTCTCGCTATACTTGCAGCCGCTTAGTAGATAACTCCCTAATTCCCACGGTATCAGGGAGCTATCTACTAAAAGGCTGAAAGACCTAAATTGGTCTTTCAGCCACATTTACTAATACTGAGTAAAGATTACTTAGTATTAGTAAATTAAATGCCCCTACTCGCTATACCGCGAGTAGGGGCATGTGTAGTAAGCAGTGAGCAGCTTATAGCTGCTCACTGTAAAAAAAAAACAAACAACTAACTAATAAACCCCCCCCCATGCCCGTAGGGGCCCTAAATAAAGATGGGGGGACCTACTGGCCCCCACCCCTGAGCGGTGGGTGGGGGCCCTAGTAAAACAATAAGGGGGGGGACCTACTGTCCTCCCCCCCGGCCCCCACCCCTGAGTGGTGGGTGGGGGCCCTAGTAAAACAATAGGGGGGACGGACCTACTGTCCTCCCCCCCTGGCCCCCACCCCTGAGCGGTGGGTGGGGGCCCCAGTAAAACAATAAGGGGGGGGACCTACTGTCCTCCCTGGCCCCCACCCCCGCGCTGCGGGTAGCAGTAAAACATAGGGGGAACTACTGAAACCTCCCCTGGTTCTCATTCTCCTGATGTGTGGGTGGGGCTCCCAGTAAAATACAGGACCTACTGCCTTCCCCCGGCCCCCACCCAGGCCAGGGCTGTGGGAGGACAGGTCCCCTTTATTGCTCATTAGCCCCACCACCGCCAAGCAGGATCAGGGGAACAGAAGTTCCCCCCATATCTTTATTTAGGGCCCCCACCCACCGCTCAGGGGTGGGGGCCAGGGGGGAGGACAGTAGGTCCCCCCCCTTATGGTTTTATTAGGGCCCCCACCCACCGCGCAGGGGTGGGGGCCAGGGTGGGAGGAAGTAGGTCCCCCCCCTTATTGTTTTATTAGGGCCCCCACCCACCGCTCAGGGTGGGGGAGGGGGGAAGGACAATAGGTCCGCCCCCCCTTATTGTAATTTATGTCTTTATTGACATTGCCGCTTTAAGGCCCAAATGCTGGCAATGACGGCTGAAATCAGAAAAGACATACAGGACATAGGAAACCGCACGGCACACCTAGAGTCCAAGATGGACGATTTCTCCATGGCCCATAATAGTGTGGCGGATAAAGTGCAAGAATTGGAAGACGTCATTTCGGCTCAAAAACTCAAACTAGCAGACCTGGAAGACAGATCCAGGAGGAATAACCTCAGATTTAGGGGAATACCAGAATCAGTAACGAATGCTGACTTAGAAAAATATATATAAGACATGTTCCATCAGATGACCCCCGAACTACACCCAGACCAACTGCTGCTAGACAGAGCGCATCGACTCAGAAGACCCAGCCACTTACCCAACACGGCTGCGAGAGACGTCATAGCAAGGGTGCACTTCTTTCATGCCAAAGAAAGAATTATCAAGGCAAGCAGGAACAGAGGAATGCCAGAGAAATTCGCTAATATAAAAATCTTTTCCGACCTCTCGGCAGAGACCCTACAATACCGCAAATCCGTGGCACAAGTCACATTGTCACTGCGAAACCAGGGACTAAACTACAGGTGGGGATATCCGGCTAAGCTGCTAATATATCACCAAGATTCCCTCCACTCCATCACATCAGCGCCGCAAGGAATAAAGCTGCTTAGAGACTGGGGTATCCCGTTGGCCGAATTGCCAAACTCGAGCCTGACGAAATCTCCCCGCCTGGCCCAAGACTGGGCATCCCGTTAAAGGAACTCCATACTTGAGCGTTATAAGTAAGACACACACTCAAGTTACCCGTTATGTTGTTATACTTATTGTTATGTAATCTTATGCTTTCTTAACCTATTGTTTCACTTGAGACATGCATGGGTGATCACCGGGGCCCCCCCGACCTCCTCCCACTCAGACCCGACAGGCACACAACGAGAAGTATTCTCGGTTAGATCATGACACTGCCCAATCACCACGGGTAGGGGAGTCGGGACACCGGAGACCCACAGGTTGTTAAAGAAGTGAAGGAGGAAAGAAAAAAAAAAAAGTATTAAAGTAACAGTAACACAAGTTAACCGCATTAGCACCCATTGTGCCCCAGTGTGTGTGTGTGTGTACGGGCTGAAAGGGACATATACCTCAACAGGAAGTCCCAATATCACCAACCCCCTAAACTGCGGGCGTCCCTCGCCTCATAGGGCCTTGCCCTCCTTTCCCCCCCCCCTCCCCTCAACTACCAGGTGCACTACACTAGGTCAACAGTCAAGGTTGACCATACCCCATCCCCTTCCTGCCTCCATATCTTCTCTGGTAATAGACACTTGCACGGAACTGTCTCACAACGACACATACGGAAATACTGCCCACGAGAAAGAGGGTGTAATCCTACCTACACGGATATCAACACTAGTTTTACCTGACAAAAACTCACCAAAATGAGAATAGTGTCATATAACGTTAGAGGGCTAAATTCCCCATGGAAAACACAGATTACTCTTACACGAACTCAAGAAAAACGCGGTAGACATAGCTTGCATTCAAGAAACGCACTTTAGACACCCCATAGCCCCATCACTTTTTACAAAACTGTACCCTATACAGTATCATGACCTATCAGACGCAAAGACAAAAGGGGTTTCTATCTTAATACATAAGGACGTCGCCTTTACTCTGCAAAGCAGCTACATAGACCCTAAAGGGAGATATACATCATAGTGGTGGGGCTCTTCAACAATATTCAATACACCATAGGCGCAGCGTACTTCCCGAACGACAACCAAAACTTCTTCCTTAAAATCACTCCTGTCCAATTGGATACATGTAAACAAGGGGGGCTCATATTAGGAGGAGACTTCAACTTTATCCAGTCCCCGACCCTTGATACCACCGCCTCGCCGCAGGGAAAACATAAAAAAGGGACTCAAGCCCTCTGCAAAACCCTCACCAACACATTGACCCTGTACAACTTATATGACAGCTGGAGGACGTTACACCCAACAGACCGGGATTACACTTTTTACTCCAGGGTTCACAACTCCTATACACGTGTAGACACATTCTTCTTAGACAACAAGACCCTACCACAATTGACAAACTGTAAAATAGGAGAGTTAACGTGGTCAGACCATAGCCCGATCTATCTTGACCTAGCGGGCACGTACCAACCCCGAGGTAGGGGCACATGGAGACTCAACGAGTCTCTCCTCCTAGACAAACCATTCGTAGAACGTATGAGGGTAGAACTTAGCGAATATTTCCTGGCAAACTCAACAGGAGAGGTCTCAGACTGCACAGTATGGTCCGCACACAAAGCGGTGATGAGGGACCAGTTCATTCGACAAGCAGCGTACATAAAGAAACGCCACCAAACCACCCTCCTAGACTGCCACAAACAAATAGCGATCACCACAGCACAGAATAAAAAGACGCCCACGGCGGCCTTAGCAGACAAGTTAAGAGACCTATACCGAGACCTCACGGAACTCAACGCCCAAAAGACCCAATATTTCCTACACAGACTGAGGGCCACCACATACCACCACAGTGGCAAGGCATCCAAATACCTGGCCAATAGACTCAGAACCAAACAGGCCGCCAATAGAATCCCATATCTCATAGGACACACAGGAGACAAGCTCATGAACCCCGCTGACATAGTGCAGGAATTTGCACACTTCTACAAACAGCTATTCAACCTAGATTCCAGCGGAGGCGCAAAAGCCCCGGAAACGCACTCTATTCATAGATACTTACGGGATATAGAACTCCCCAAAATAGATCAGAACTCAGTGAACGCCCTGTTGGAACCGATCACCATGCAGGAGATCCGGGGGGTAATTAAGACTCTGCCCCTGGGTAAATCCCCGGGCGCAGATGGCTTCTCGAACGCTTATTATAAAACGTTCATAGATACTCTAACACCTCACCTGCTAAAAGTCTACCGCACGGCAGCGGAAACAGGAGCCCTCCCACCCGAAATGCTAGTGGCCACGATAGTAACACTCCCAAAACCAGATAAACCTACAGACAATTGCAAAAACTATTTCCCTGCTCAACACCGATGCGAAGATATATGCTAAGATCTTAGCCAATAGACTGGCACATATCCTTCCAACCATCATAGGGGATGACCAAACAGGATTCATCAAGAGCAGGCAGGGCAGAGACAATACTAGAAAGCTCTCCTTGGTGCTAGAGAAGCTGAGGGGATCAGGACAGGGCGGGCTTCTACTAGCCTTAGATGCTGAAAAGGCATTTGACCGTCTAAACTGGTCATTCCTTGAACACACGCTCCTACAATATGATATCCCCACCGAATTTATTAAGCAGATCTTCGCCCTATACACAGGTCCCACGGCCCGGGTGCTGCAAGCCGGCTTCCTCTCGGATCCATTCCCTCTAACGAATGGTACATGACAGGGGTGCCCTCTATCACCACTATTGTATGTCCTGGCCCTAGAACCACTTCTGATCCAAATCAGGAACCAGAAGGGTATTAAAGGAATAGACCTCTATGGTAGAGACATCAAAATTAGCGCATTCGCAGACGACATCCTTATCTGTGTTACCGAACCTGAACAATCGACCCCACTCATTTTAGACCTCATCAGAGAATATGGCACGATGTCATATTACTCTCTCAATGCCAACAAGACACAGGCGCTGGGAATACAGCTTAGCCAAAAAACCCTGACTGCCCTCAAGGAGACCCACCTTTTCGAATGGAGAACAGACACAATAAAATACCTAGGACTAACCTTCACAAAAAACCCCACAGAAACACTTTCATCCAATTATGTTAAGGTATGGGGGGAATGTCGCCAACTAATGAAAAAATGGGGCACACTGTTTCTGACCTGGACAGAGAGAATAGCAACCATCAAGATGTCCATAATCCCTAGGCTCCAATACTTATTTCGCAATTTACCGATACAGGTACCCGCCTCTTACCTCAGAGAAACACAGAAAGACATTAACAGGTTCGTGTGGGGGGGCCAAAAAGCCCGGGTACGGGACACACTATTACGAGCACCAGCGAGACAGGGAGGACTCGCATTGCCAGACATTAAGTCGTACTACCAAGCAGCTACACTAGCAGCACTCCTTCCCCACTTCACAAACACGACTACACCGCAGTGGGTACAACTAGAGAAAATAGCTATTAAGCCTTTTGACATACCCACCTTAATGTGGCCAGCAGTGTCACAGCTACCAGCACAGGTCAAAACAGCATTAAAGGTTTGGGACAAGGTCAGTCATAAACTGACAACCCCTATTCCACTATCTCCAGCCACCCCGCTTAACACTATCACATACTGTATCTCGACCTTTAATGCCAAGCCGTGGATAACCAACGGGGTCACACACATGCACCAATTGCTCACATACAATAAGCTCAAACCCTTCCCAACCCTACAGGAAGAATACCATATACCAGCGGCCTCTCAATTCTCCCACATGCAACTAAGATCGTTTCTCCATAAACATACAGATAAAACTCTCACCACAGCTGGAAGTCCCCCCAGTATGACAGCATGGGAACAAAAGACCACCAAAGGTGCATGGACACCAGCGTTTAAACCGCTGTCCTGGTGTTACCAGCTTCTCCGACCCGCACAGCACTTTGCAGACTCTAACCCGGCCAAGTAATGGGCACAAGACGTACGAGGCCACATAAGCAAGGACCACTGGGAACGTGCCATGGTAGCAACCATAAAACTAGTCAAGTCAGAGACCCTCCTGGAACAGTACAGGAAAACCCTATATAGGTGGTACATGGTACCAACTCGGTTACATAAGCTATACCCAGGCTCGCCCCCAGAGTTCTGGAGATGTGGGAAAGAGGAGGGAATAGTACTACACACCTGGTGGCAATGTGACCAAATAACCAGCTTCTGGCAAGACATTGGCTGCCTGATCCGAGACACTACACAAGTCAAGCTCCCATACACACCCCTAGCATACCTTCTGCTACACATGCCAGACAACACACCTAAAGAGGTGCAGAAACTAACCTTCCACATCCTCTTGACAGCCCAGAGAGCAATAGCCAGACTATGGAAAAAATGTAGACCCCCACGACTAGAGGAGGTATGCAGGGACGTCGACACACAACAATTATACGAATCCCGATATAGAGGGGTTCTCCCCATGACAAATACGGCCATGGAAGCATGGAGGTTGTAATAACTGGCTGTGTTTTTCTATAGTTGAATAAGTCTTGTATGTATATATATATAGATATTTCTTCTTGTCTTCAGTTGATTGATATATATACGTCTTGGGCCAAATGCTCGCCACAATAATATATGTCTATATTATTGAAAATTAGTAATACGCAATCTGACGTTCTTTATAAAAAATGAGTATTTATTCTACATTCAACAGGAAACAGTTAGATATACTTAACAGATGGTAATTCTTAACGATGTTACAGAGAGTCGTCTTGACATCAGAGAGGAGAGCAAACGGATCGTAGCAGGAAGAGAGCGTGTAATCCTTTGTCCTTGACTCTATATACCCCAAATTATGTCATAATGTTTAGTTTAGACCCTGCCATATAAGGAAGTTCCCTATATAAAGACCGCCTCAAATCTCTTATACAGGAAATTCCAGAGACCTCATATTACAGAGTAGCAAACACCATCTGTTCTGTTTAACCCATTAGACAGCCACACCTTAATATGTATTTGAATAGGAACATACAGAATATGCAATATTCTACAGAGGTTATGGGAAGAGAGACCAACGAGAGACCACCGACAACCAAGCCACCAGACACAATAAGCCCCAAAAGACAACCTCTAGACAAAGATAGATAACCGAGCGAGAAGTAACAGGACAGGAACAGAACCTTAAGAGTAGACAAAACCTGCTAATTGTAGGAAGACACAGGGTGTACGTAGGCACGAGACACAATCAATGAATCCTAATAACGGTGACTGTAAACCCTGAGGTAATAGTATGAGATGGACCCCCTCCCACCCCATCCCTCTTCCTTTCTGTAACCCCCTCCTTACCCAACAGTTTCACGCTTTAGGTCTTACACCTAAGTAGAGGACATTTCTAAGACAAAATTTGATAAAAGGTTCTTGAATGGAAATGTTACAAAATGTTGACAATACTAAAAGTGGAGACCTGTAAATGTAAGCACTACCGTTTGTACCCCCTCCCCCTTTTTTATTTCTGTACCCCCCTTATATTGTTTTGAAATATGTCAAAATAAAAAATTGTCAAATTGAAAAAAAATATGTTGTCTCTCATTCGCCAACATGACTGAAGGTCACTCAGAATTCCACCCCTCCCAATATTTCAAATGGACAAAGAGGGACATTAATTTTAGGGTTGTGGCCAGTAGCGGGCTGTTCTGAGAAATTTTAGGTGACTTACTTATAACAATTTATACAACTATAAAATGTTATTTATAACCTGAACAATGCATCTTATTTACACAGACTGTTTTCTAAACACATTTATGGTAGTTTAGAGGCACATTACCGTGAGTATTATTGCTGTGGAGCTCTGTTATACACCAAGAATATGGAGCTCCTAGAAAAGAGGGGCATAAGGATAGAAAAGCGAGACCGAGACATTTGGACCCAAAATAGAGACTGTCC